TACCTGGCTTTTAAAAGACCTGCCATATGCGTGTGAGGCTCACTGCGTGTAGCTTTTATCACTACTTGGCTCCTTTTTATTCGTGGATGGTGTTCCGTTGTTTGGGTACATGGCAGTTTATCCGTCGATGGACATTTGGTTATTTTAAGACGTGTTTTTAAAGCATATTTGTTATTGGCGGACATCTAGGTAAGTCATGCTGCTGCCGGCTTCCTTCCTGACCTGTGCACAGGCTGAGTCCTGGCCAAGAACCCCCTCCGGTCTTCTTAGCCTGGCAAAGCCCAGCTCACAGGCCCCCTCTTCTGGGCCTTCCTGACTGTCCAGAGATGGGTGAGAGGGAGTGGCATCCACGAGCTGCCTTGACCCTCCCTCTCTCCCAGTCTTTGTGTTCTGGGCTGTGATCTTTGACCTTGGGGGTGGGGGCGGGGATAGACTCAGACACTTAGGCCAAAGTGATGTAACCAGGTGCCTCTGTCCTTGTGCGGCAGAGAGAAAGCTGCCCTGCAAATCAAGAGCCTTGCAAAGTCTGGTCCCGCTGAGGTGGGGGGCGGCAGCAGGGGAGGAGGAGCCTGGTGACTGCACGGCTGACCTACATGTCCCCGGTTCTGCCAGGCCCTGCTGTAGGCGCCTGACCTCTGTGAACTCGCTTAAACCTCACGCCAACCCTGTGGGTGGGCACTGTCATCACGCCCATTGAATGGAGGAGAAAACCGAGGCGCAAAGATCAATGACTTGTCCACCGTCACCCAGCCCAACGGCAGCACCGGTCATCAGACATTGCATGAGGGCAAGAGCCATGGGATGTTGTGGCACTCGAGCCCCGGATCCCCTTCTGTTGGAGACACACATGCGCGCGCGCGCGCACACACACACACACACACGCACACACACACACACACACAGCTTTCTCTGCTATTTCCTAGTTTGGCTGATTTGTCCCCAGAGCAGGTGAGTAGGCCAGCGAGGGAGGAAAACACAACAGGACTCTGGGGTTCCAGAGGCTTCTCTGGGCCCTGCTGCCTTTGCCAAGAGACATGGCCACGGGAGGGAGGCAGGAGCCGGAAATGGTTATTTGTTCTTGTTTTTTAAACCATTTTATGGGGGTGTGATTGACAAAAGGGACGCTGTAACCCATTAAAGTGTGCACCTCGCTGCATTTGGAGCTGAGCTGAGCCCGCGAAGCCATAGCTGTGTCCATGCAGACACCCGCCAGCCCCCACAGGCCTCCTCCCCGCCTGTGTGACTGCTATGACCGCTGACTTCAGCTCTGCAAGAGGAGTACGTCCGAGATCCACTGCACCCTGCAGAGCTGCAGTGAACAGTCCTGCACTGTCTACTTAAATATTTGCTAAGAGGGTAGATCTGTGTGTGTTCCTACCACATGCACACACACACACACACATATGCACACACGCGCGCACACCCATGCACACCCATGCACCCACCCATGCACACACACGCGCACCCAATGCACCCACGTGCGCACACCCTGCACACGCATGCACACATACGCACACACCCATGCACACACGCTGAGTTTGCTGTCGCCTTTTCCCTTGAGCATGCCAAGGGAAGCCAGGACAGGCAGGACCACTAGTTACCAGCCCCGCGGGTGTCTTTTCCGTGGGTGAGGACATGGACGGTGGAGAAGACGTGATGAGACCACTTCCCCCTGTCGCTCCTCCCTGAGGGCCTGTTTCAGGTTAAAATCTGAGGATTTCCATCCTGGTGACACCCCATCCCTGCCAACAGCCTTCAGGCTGAGGTCTGAATTCTACTCACCAGGCTCTGCCGAGAGGCTGGGGGAATTGCCTGGTTTGGACCCTCCAGGAGAGCCCCCCAACCTCGCTGGGCTCAGTTTCCCTATCTGTGACACAGGGAGGTTACCCCGCTTCAGGAGATGACCCAGCATGGCCTCAGGGTGGCTGGTGGGCCAGCTGGCCTGAAGTTGTGCGATTTGGCTCCTGGCTCTGTGTCATGGCACGAATTCAGCTTTTCTCCATTTAATTTTTTTTTTTTTTTTTAGAGAGAGAGGAGGAAGGGGGGAGAGAGAGAGAGAGAGAGAGAGAGAGAGTCAGTATGTTGCTCCACTTATTGATGCATTCATTGGTTGATTCTTGTATGTGCTCTGACCAGGGATCGAACCCACAACCTTGATGTATGGAGATGAAGCTCTGACTGACTGAGCTACCTGGCCAGGGCCAACTTTTCTCCATTTAAGTATCATATAGGTCAGCCCGGCCGGTGTAGCTCAGTGACTGAGCATGGACCCATGCACCAAGAGGTCACCGGTTTGATTCCCGGTCAGGGCACATGCCCAAGTTGTGGGTCTGATCCCCAGTGGGGGGCATGCAGGAGGCGGCCAATCCATGTTCTCTCTCATCGATGTTTCTATTTCTCTCTCCCTATCCCTTCCTCTCTCTCTAAAATCAATAAAGAAAAAAAAAGTTAAGATATTATGTAGGTCAGATGAGCTGCTGCTGAGACTAGGGTCACCAGCCCTTTGTACAGACGGTAACACAGATTCAGAAGGGACTGACTGGCCCAAATGGCCCTGGGGTCTGGCTTCCTCCCAGAGTTTCCCCGTTGTGGACATGGGGCCTGTCTGGCCAGCTCCAGCCTCCTGCTTCCTGCAGAGCCCCTGCCTACTGCTTCTGACTGCTTGGGGACTGTCCTTGTCCTGGAAGGCCGTGTTCAGATGTTGGCAGCTGTGACCAAGCCGCCCCAGATGCCTAGCTTTGCGGCACTGGCGTCTGTCTGATGGACTGGTCACTCCATTTGGCCTGGGCTCTGAGGGGCTGTGAGCCTGCTAGGGGCTGGTGATGTGGCCAGGACAGGGGTGGGTGGATGGGGTGGCGCTGGGTGGGTGGGGACTTCCTGTGACACTGGGCAGGGACCCGCAGAGCGGGGGGAGAAGCAGAGATAGAGGTCAGTGTATCTGACGGTCGGACTCACTGTGTGGGTTTCAGGCCTGTTTCCTTTGGCCTTTTAGGAAAACCAAGTTTTTGCCAAGTGTTATCCATGAGGAGGTTTCATTTAGGTTTCTGTATTTCTGGCTCTTCATGGAACTCAGCTCTCGTTCTCATCTCCCACTGTGCCCCGCACAGGCGGTGCTCCCGCCACCCAGGCCTCCTTGCTGTCCCTAGACTCTGTCTCAGCACCTCCCTGCCTCAGGGCCTTTGCACTGCCTGTTGCTTCTACATGGAATTACCCCCACTGATCCCTGTGCTCCCCTTCACTGCCTTTGGGTTCTGTTTCGGTTTGGTGTTTGGTTTACGCACACAGTTCACCGACCAGGCCGTTCAGAATGCAGGCCTCTTCCCTCTGCCACGGAGCACATGTTTCCCATGATTTTCGACCCCGCCTTCCCCCCGTGGAATAAAAGCCCCACAGAGCCAGGAACCCGGGTCTGTCTGGTTCACTCTCCTATCCCCAGCTCTTAGACGAGTGCCTGGCAGGTGGCGGGTGCTGGCGAGTGCCTGCTGGATGAGTGAGTGATGCGCTGAGCCACGGCGGGTGCTGGCGAGTGTCTGCTGGATGAGTGAGTGACGCGCTGAGCCACGGCGGGTGCTGGCGAGTGTCTGCTGGATGAGTGAGTGACACGCTCAGCCACGGCGGGTGCTGGCGAGTGTCTGCTGGATGAGTGAGGAAGCGCTGAGTCACGGCGGTGTGCTGGCGAGTGTCTGCTGGATGAGTGAGTGACCTGCGTGAGCCACGGCGGGTGCTGGCGAGTGTCTGCTGGATGAGTGAGTCGATGCGGCTGAGACCACGGCGGGTGCTGGCGAGTGTCGCTGGATGAGTGAGTGATAGCGCTGAGCCACGGCGGGTGTGCTGGCAGACGTGGTCTGCTGGATGAGTGAGTGATACGCTGAGGCCACGTCGGGTGCGGGGCGATGGCTGGCTGGATTAGTGTTTGATAGCGCTGAGAACGACCCGGCGGGTGCTGGCGAGTGTCGGCTGGATGGAGTGAGTGAACGGCTGAGGAACACAACGCGGGTGCTAGGTCGAGTAGTCTACGCTGATGAGTGTAGTGATACTGCTCAGCCACGGGGTCGGGTGCTCGCGAGTGTCTTCTGGATGAGTGAGTTTGATGCGCTGATACCACGGCGGGTGTCTGGCGAGTGGTCTGCTGGATGAGTGAGTGATACGCTGAGGCCACTGCGGGTGCTGGCGAGGTCTGCATGATGAGTGAGATGATTACTGCTTAGCCACCGGTGCGGTGCTGGCGAGTGTCTGCTGAATGAGTGAGGTGATACCGAAGCCACGGCGGTGCTGGCGAGTGTCTGCTGGATGAGTGGATGATACCTCATCCACGGCGGTTGGCTGGCGAGTGTCTGCTGGATGAGTGAGTGATACGCTGAGCCACGGCGGGTGCTGGCGAGTGTCTGCTGGATGAGTGAGTGATACGCTGAGCCACGGCGGGTGCTGGCGAGTGTCTGCTGGATGAGTGAGTGATACGCTCAGCCACGGCGGGTGATGGCGAGTGTCTGCTGGATGAGTGAGTGATACGCTCAGCCACGGCGGGTGCTGGCGAGTGTCTGCTGGATGAGTGAGTGACGCGCTGAGCCACGGCGGGTGCTGGCGAGTGTCTGCTGGATGAGTGAGTGATGCGCTGAGCCACGGCGGGTGCTGGCGAGTGTCTGCTGGATGAGTGAGTGATACGCTGAGCCACGGCGGGTGCTGGCGAGTGTCTGCTGGATGAGTGAGTGATACATTCAGCCCCAGGTGCTGCAGGGTAGCAGCCGTCTCCTTTCAAAGGGCACAGGGCCTCCCATCATTCGCCAGGATCCCCCGGTCAGGCCGTGGTTATTAAAACACCGAAAAAACCAACTCGACTGGATTACCTATGAACTTTAACCGTGTCAAGCCCCTTCCCTGACGGGCTGAGGTTCGGTGGTGCAGGCCGGCTCTGGGCAGTCACTCTGGAGCTTCGTGGCAGGTGGGTGGGCGCTGGGGGCCCTGGTCACCCTCCTCATGGGCATGTTTGTCTCGCCCCCCAGAATGTGCGCATCGACCCCAGTAGCCTGTCCTTCAACATGTGGAAGGAAATCCCCATCCCCTTCTACCTCTCCATTTACTTCTTCGACATCGTCAACTCCCAAGAGATCCTCCGGGGCCAGAAGCCGCAGGTGCGGGAGCGCGGGCCCTACGTGTACAGGTAAGGGTGCAGGTCCCCTGGCTGGGTGGGTCTCAGAGTCGCCAGGGGGGGCTGCGCACCGAGCCTCAGGGACTGTTTCAGAAGCAGGCCAGGCACAGGGCAGGAAGTGAGGGGGTCTGGGCATCAAGAGCAATCAGGGATGAAAACGCAACTGTGCTCAAGGTTTGGGAGTCAGAAACTCCAGTCAGAGTCAGCGGCAAGCATCCACTTACTAAGTCATCCACTTTCATTCACTCATTCACCCACTCACTCGTTCATGTGCCCACTCAGTCATCCATTCGCTCGCTCATTCATTCATTCAGGACACATCCATTGAGCACCTGGTGGACGTCTGTGACTGTTCTGGGCACAGGGGACCCAGATATGGACAAAAAGACACTGGGGTGCTGCACTCGAGTTGGGGGGAATCAGATGAAAATGAATAAGTAAGATCACAGAGTAGTGATAGGGTGGTACTAGGGGTGTGGAGGGTGCTTGCACCTCAGGTCTGAGATGGCCTGGAGGGTGGGCTGTCTCTGAGGAGGTGACGTGTGAGCAGAGGTGGCTTGGCAGGTGGAGGGGACATGTCGGGCTTCGAGGTGCTCCCTGGGTGGCTGATGAGCGTCACACAGCCTTGGCCCCATGCTCCATGGTGGGCAGGTGGCAGGAGGACAGGCGGGGGTGGCTCCGCAGTGGGGCTGGCAGGTTGGGGTGCACACGGACATCTGAGGACCCCCCGGCCTCCTCTCCACAGGGAATACCGGCGCAAAACCAACATCACCTTCAATGACAATGACACCGTGTCCTTCCTCGAGTACCGCACCTTTGAGTTCCAGCCCGACAAGTCCAGCGGCTTGGAGAGCGACTACATCATCATGCCCAACATTCTGGTCCTGGTGAGGCTGCCCGCGGCCGTGCCGCTCCCTGCCCTCGCGTGTCCCCTTCCCCGCCAGGCATCCTTGAGGCAGCCGGGGGCTCACAGGGCCACGTTTTCAGTCCAGCGAGTGGCCCGGGCACATCCACTGGTGTCTGGTTCAGGGGCGCCGGCCAAAGGCACTGCCCTTCCTTTTCCATTGACAGAACCCCCAAAGGCAGGTACCAGTGTGGGGCTGCATGGGTGCCTCAGGCCCTGTCATCGTCGGTGGCACTTGGGGGAGGGTGTGGGCAGGGTCTCTGCTCTGTGCAGGTGACAGTCATAGCTGGATTGCCTGCCCTGTGTGTCGGGGTCTCTGGGACCACCCCAGGGCTGCTGATTGGCCAGGAGGGCGGGCAGGGCCTAGCACGGGGCCCTGCTCATGGCTGCAACGTGTTTGAGCGGATCACATAACCCAGAACAAGACCCGGAGGGGGTGGGACAGGGTGGCGGCCACGCCCAGCTCCCAGAGTCCTCTCCTAGGCGAGTCCCACAGACCCGCTTCCTTCCCCGAAACAAGCTGTGACAGCACATGGCCGCGTGGGACATGCCGTCCACCAGGGAGCCCCTCAGAGCCCCGTGCCCAGGGCGTTTGCTGGGCTGGTCACCTCGGCCCCGCCGCCCCTGCCGCAGCACCTCCGCTCTGTTGTCAAAGACCACGACGGGGACGTGGCTGTGTGCCAATAAAACTTTATCTTATGGTTGCTGACATGTGAGTTTCACATGATTTTTGGGTTGCTTGGAATATCCTCCTTCTGCTTTTCCCAGCCATTTAAAATGTACAAACATTGTTAGCGCCTGACGGTCTCTGAGGAGACGCACAGACCCAGTGGGCTGCTGCAGGGCAGGGACTGGGAGGACGGAGGCCAGGGGGTGCCAGTGTCTTCCATTTTATTCTAGATCCTTGTGTTACTTTTATTTATTTATCTATTTATTTATTTTTCCTCACCCGAGGACATTTTTCCATTTTTTGTTCAGATAGAGTGGGAGGGAGAGAGAGCGGGGGAGAGAGAGAGAGAGAGAGAGAGAGAGAGAGAAACTTTGACGTGAAAGGGACACATCGAGTGGCTGCCACCCGCACAATCAACCAGGGCCGGGGACAAACTGCAACCGAGGTACGTGCCCTTAGCAGGAACCGAACCCAGGTTTCTGGACCACAGGCCGACACTCTAACCACTGAGCCAAACCGGCCAGGGCTGTAACTTTTATTTTTTTAAAAATCCTCACCAGAGGATATTTTTCTATTTATCTTCAGATAGAGTGGGAGGGAGGAAGAGAGAGAGAAACATAGATTTGAGAGAGACACATCGATTGGTTGCCTCCTGCACGACCCCAACCAGGGCCTGGGACCGAACCGCAACCGAGGTACGTGCCCTTGACCGGAGTCGAACCTGGGACTCTGGTCCGAGGCCTCATGCTCTAACTGCTGAACCACACCGGCCAGACCCCTTTTGTGATGTTTGAAAAGGGTGAGTTTAGTACCTTTAATGTTGAGGAGACCTTGGTGAGTTCCCATGGGACCAGACCTCCGCCGCCCATCTTCTGGGAAGTGCCGGCTGTGCTCACTTTCCTGCAGGTGGAGACAGCATTTCAGATGTGGTGCCTTTAAAAATGAACCAGCCCGGCCGGTGGGGCTCAGTGGACTGAGCGTCATCCCCTGGACTGAGAGGTCCTGGCTCCATTCCCGGTCAGGGCGCATGCCTGGCTTGCGGGTTCGATCCCCAGTAGGGGGAGTGCAGGAGGCAGCGATCTATCACATTGATGTTTCTGTCTCTCTCTCTCCCTTAGGAAAAAAAAAAATCAATAAAAACATATTTTTTTAAAAAAATAAATAAACCAAGCACCAAGATGGCATCTCCAGAAGAAAGCAAAAATTAGAACATAATTTCACCTGTATTCTAAACACCCACATGTGGGGTAGAGCAGATGTTTGAAGCACCCAGTGTTTGGGGAGAGATGATCAGGGAGTAGAGTAGAGTCTCCATGAAGAGTTTTTTTTGAACGAGGTGACAGTAAAAGGCTCTCTAAACTTTCATCAGCAAAAGGAGAGTTTATGGGCTCGTGTTACTGCAAGGACAGGGGTAGTGTGAGTTTCAGGTGCAGCTTGATCCAGGGTGCAAGCAGTGTTGCCCAGATGTGTTGGTTTTATGCTCTGGCAGATCGGCCCATCTGGGTGGCTACGGCCTTGCACACCCCAGGTTCAAGGCTGGCAGGGGACCTTCCCTCTCCACCCCACAGCCCCAGCTCGTTGTACTCTTGTGCTCATTGGTTTTGATGGGGCCACACACACTTTTCCAAACCAATCACCTCTAGAGGGAGGAATGTTTCTGATTGGCTGGGCCTGAGCCATGTGTCTGTCTCTGGGGCTGGGGGTGAACTTAGCATGAATCCAAGAGAACATGTGGGTCTGTTACCGGAGGGACAGGGAATGGTTCTGGGTGTCCCAGCCACCCCTCGCGCCCACAGCAGGGCCCTTCCTCAGCTCAAACATTTCCCTGGACGGGCTGTTTGCTTTGGGGTCTGGCTTGAAGTCCAGGAGCATGGACTGACCGTGTGCAGCCTCTGAGCCATGCTGTCCCCTTGCTTTGCAGAGTGCAGCAATGCTGATGGAGAACAAGCCTATGTCCCTGAAGGTGTTCTTGACCTTGGCGTTCACTACCTTTGGCCAGCACGCCTTCATGAACCGCACTGTGGGCGAGATCATGTGGGGCTATGATGACCCCATCCTAAACATCATCCACAAATACTTCCCAGACAAGTTCCCCATGAAGGGCAAGTTCGGGCTATTTGCTGAGGTAAGTATGGCCCAGTGAGAAGTTCAGGAACTGGAAACAAGGTACCAGCTTGGTTTTGGAGCTGGCTGGGGAGCCCTGGAGGCTATGGGTTGTAAATGGCAGGAAACCTAGTTTGTACTGGCTTAAGTAAAATAGAGAATTTATTGGCTCATATAGCTGAAAACTCTAAGGATGGATTCAGGTGCAGTTTGATCCAGGCTCAAATGATGTGAATGGGGAGAAACTTAGACAACTGGCATCTGTTGCTGGAAGAAGGGAGAATGGGTGATGAGGATGCAGATCATAAATATCAACGGTAGCATTGATCTGAGCTGCCTGATTTTTCTTAATCTTGACCCCTGGTAACCTGGTAGGGTCTGTGATTGATCTCCTGAGCCATGGTCTACTGTAGAATCTGATTTCTGTCCTCTGACCCTCACTTTGGCTCCTTCAACAACAGGTTTTTTTTTTGTTGTTGTTGTTCAGATAGAGTGGGAGGGAGAGAGAGGAAGATAGAGAGAGAAACATCGATGTGAAAGAAACACATCGAGTGGCTGCCTCCCGCACGACCCAACCAGGGCCAGGGCCAGGGACAAACTGCAACCGAGGTACGTGCCCTTAGCGGGAACCGAACCTGGGTCTCTCTGGACCGCAGGCCAGCGCTCTAACCGCTGAGCCAAACCGGCCAGGGCTCAACAACAGGTTTTAATGAGCCCTCAGGGTCGCTCCAGTTTCAACCTCCTCTTTGGGGTCTGCTGATATGTTGTTGGGGGAAGTAGGAGGGAGAAATCATGATTCTGTCCCTGACACAGTATAGATGCTTAAAACAGTTTTGACTGGTTCTGGGTGTGTGGGCAATTTGGCAGGATTGCAGTGACATGATTCCATAAAAGCATCTTGTAAACTTGCAAACAAATGAAGGTTGTTGCAGTCACTAGCATATCTATAATTTGCTTTTGACCATGTGTAGTGGGAACCCAACAGCCCAGCAGAGATTGTTCAATGGTGGTGTGGTGGCTCTGTACTCTTCACGGATCCAGGATCCTAATTCTGTGCTCTGTCATCCTTAGGCTGTGGTTTCTATACTCAAGATTACCACATGGTCCAAGATAGCTGCAAGAGCACCAGCTATCACATCCACTTTCCAGACAGCATAGCAGGAAGGAAGGAGTGATGGGTGGTGGGGGTAGGTAGAGAAGTTGGGGCCAAAACAGCATGTTCCAGCTGTCTCCTTCTTTGGGAGGGAAAAAACCAATTTCCAGTTATTTTCCAGTGGCTAGAACTTAGACATGTGGCCACACGTAGCTGCAAGGGAAGCTGGGAAATATAGTCTTTCAGTGGGTGAGTTGATGCTGCATAAGTTTTGGGTTTTGTTATGAAGGAGAAAGGGGAGAACAGGTTTTGAGTAGTAACTAGCAGTCTCTGATATACCTTGTCTATTATAATTATTTATAAGTATCTTTTTGCATGAGCATGTACTAATGATAATAACAGTAATGATAAAAGGACTGGCATTTGAGCTCTTAGTGTGTCCCAGGATTGCACTCAGCAGTTTTTACACTTAATTCTTTTAATAGTCCTAGTGCCTCTTTTTTGTTTGTTTGTTTGTTTTTAATGTTTTTATTGATTTTTTTCAGAGAGAGAAGTAGAAACATTGATACGAGGGAGAAACATCAATCGACTGCCTCCTGCACACCCCCTACTGGGGATCAAGCCTGCAACCCAGGCATGTGCCCCGACCGGGAATCAAACCAGGACCTCTCAGTCCAGGGGACGATGCTCAATCCACTGAGCCACATGGGCCGGGCCCCAGGGCCTTTGTAGAGTCTCCGTAGTCCCCCTCGTTATGGCTGTATGGGCCCGGGAAGCTCTGCATGGAGAGGTGACACGGCACACAGATCCCAGGGCCAGGCTTGGAATCGGCCCTGCTCTGGAGTCTGTGGCCGACCCAGTCAGTATCGATCTAGCCGTTCAGCCAGCCAGCAGCCCTCTGAGTTCCTGAGGTGCTCTGCGCGGTCCATCAGACGGCCTCCGCACAGGGGTGCAGTGCCCCTAGACGCTAGTCAGCACTCGCTCATCTCTCTGTACTCTGCATGTCCTTCCTGGCGTTAGAGACCTGCTTCTAGGGGTGCCCGAGCCTGGGGCTCACCGCGGATTGGGTCCTGTAGTCAGGATAGGCGAGTTGTGCTGTATAACAGGTAGTCCCGGGACTTCAGTGGCTTACCACAGTGAAGGTGTATTTCTTGCTTGTATCCAGTGTAGGTGACCAGGGAGCCCTCAGCTCTTTGTGGTCACTCAGGGACTCAGTGAGGGGAGGGTGCCGTTGGACATGTCCATGGTGAAATGTGGGTGAAACATGCATGCACCTGGCTTAAAGCTGCCCCCCCCCAGAGGTGACATGCCAGTTCTGACTCCTTTTTATTGATGGAGGAGGTGACGTGACCATGCTTTATTTTAAGTGTGTGTTTGGGGGTGGGAGGTGACCCTGCCACTCACCTGTAGGAGAACCAGCTTCTCCCCGAGTCAGAAGGAGAAGGTGGACACTTTCTAGGAGGGAGGCTGTGTGATCAGGAGGGGGTCCTCCTAGGAAGTCCCTTCCTCCTCCTTCTCTTGCTCCTCCTCCTCTTCCTCCTCCTCCTCTTGGTCCCAGGTGCAGGACCAGCCTGGAACTAGACGGGCGGGCTTGAGGGTCAGCCCGTGGGTCCCTTTGCCCCCATCCCGAGGGGTTTTAAAAATCCTCACCCAAGGATATATATTTTTTTCTATTTATCATCAGATAGTGTGGTAGGAAGGGGGGGAGAGAGAGAGAGAGAGAGAAAGAGAGAGAGAAACATATCGACTGGTTGCCTCCCACACGACCCAACCAAGGCCAGGGACGAACTGCAATCGAGGTACGTGCCCTTGGCTGGAATCGAACCCGCGACTCAGTAGTTCATGGGCTGATGCTCTCCCGCTGAGCCAAACTGGCCAGGGCCCCATCCCGAGGCGTAACCATGCTCTTCTGTGCTGTATCTGCAGCTCAACAACTCCAACTCCGGGCTCTTCACCGTGTTCACGGGGATCAGCAACTTCAGCCGGATCCACCTCGTGGACAAGTGGAACGGGCTGAGCAAGGTGAGCCCTGGAGGGGACGGCGGGGCCACCTGGTCACCGCCCCGCACACCTTCCTTCTCTTTAACTCGGAGTTGGAGTGCCACCCGTGGTGAAGGCTCAGAGCTCTTGGTTCTGGATGGGCGGGTGGGTGCGGCAGAGGAAGCGGACATATTTAGTACGAAGTGTATACTGGAAACTGCGTTTCTTTTATTTTTTTTAAATTACAGTCGACGTTCACTATTATTTCGTGTTTGTTTCAGGGATATGGCATAGCGTTCGGACAGTCGTACGCTTTACAGAGTGGTCCCCTGATATTTCCGGCACGCACCTGGCACCGTCCATAGTTATGACGACATTATTGACCGTGTTCCCTCTTCTGTCCTTTACATCCTGGGGCTGTGCTGTGACTGACACTCTGCACTTCTCCATTTCTTCACCTTTTCCACTCCGCCCCCAGCCCCCTCCCGCTGGCCACGCTGTCTCCTTTCTGTACCTATGCGTCTGTTTCTGTTTTGTTTGTTCATTTAGTTTGTTCTTTAGATTCTGCACATAAGTGAAATCTTAGGGTCTTTGCCTTTCTCTGTCTGACATTTTTCACTGAGCATCACACCCTCTAAGTTCACCCGTGTGGTCGCAAATGGCAAGAAGTCATTCTTTTTCCTGTGGTTCCTAATTCACAAAAACATTGAAAAAACATGACACCGATGATATCACCATGCATTGCATTAGAAGATGACATTGAGTAAAAAACAAAAACAAAATAAAATTACACTAGAAGCTCAGGAGGACACATTGAAACAAGGGACAGTCGAGACAGACACAGTGTGTTTTATCCGTCCTCACACGCCCGGCTCCAGCCCCAACCACAGAGGAAACCGCAGCCATCGGCCGGGGTGCCCTTCCTGCCTGGCGTGTCCGCGTGCACCCCTCTGTGCAGACAGAGAGCTTTGGGGGTTTTCTTCTCTGAACGCAGCGAAGTCCTCCGCTGGGCAGGGATGCTCCTTGCTTCCGACGCCGCAGCGGCCCTTCCTCACAGGGCGTGGCGGCGGGGCGCCAGGTGCTCACTGGTCATAGGTACGAAGACCTGCGGGCCGGGCACGGTCCCGCCCCATCGGTGTGCAGAGCTATGGGGGTCCCAGTTGCATTAAAGTTCTCTGTAACTTACTTTTTTCTCTCTCTCTCTCTCTATATATATATATATATATTTTTTATCCTCACCTGAGGACATTTTTGCATTATCTTCAGCTAGAGTGGGAGGGAGGGAGAGGGAGGAAGAGAGAGACAGGGAAACATCGATGTGAAAGGGACACATCGAGTGGCTGCCACCCCCACGACCAACCAGGGCCGGGGACAAACTGCAACCGAGGCACGTGCCCTTAGTGGGCACCGAACCCGGGTCTCTCTGCGCTGCGGGCCGACGCTCTAACCGCTGAGCCACACCGGCCAGGGCTGTTTTTTCAATATAAAGACACACTCGTACACGCGATTGGAAACATTCCGAACGTGCCGAGGGCAGGGGGAAGAGTCTGTGTGTGTTTTCTGTTCCCGTGTCACTCCCCAGGCAGCTGCTGTTCTCAGCTGTCCTGGGGGCCAAGACGATTTAACACATTTCCCTTGTCGTGCCACCTGCTGACTTTGTCTGCTTTGAGGAAGTGTCTGGTGACTTTCTCTCTGAGAGGTGAGGGTGACAATATCCCACCTCTCCCGCTCGCTGTGTCTGTGGAGGTGCCCGTGACAGACCCATTTCACAGGTGAGGTAACCGAGCCCCGAGCCAAGTGGCACGCTCCAGGGTCTTTGTCAGGGAGCAGGCTGCTCGCCTCCCGCCGTGCCAGGCTGTGTCTCCGAGGGCACTGGCTTCTGTCCCAGGACGGCACTGTCAAGTCGCAGCTCTGGCCAGGGGTTCAGAGCCCACTGCATTCTTGTGGCGGTGGACTGTCCTGAGTACCACATCTGAATGTCCCCGCAGGTCAGCTTCTGGCACTCAGACCAGTGCAACATGATCAACGGGACCTCCGGGCAGCTGTGGGCACCGTTCATGACGCCCCAGTCCTCCCTGGAATTCTACAGCCCCGAGGCCTGCAGGTGAGCGGCGTCCGGGCCTCCTGGGTGCAGAGGGAGGTCTGCTGCACGGCCTGAGCAAGTGGCTCTTGGCGTCCCTGGGAAAGAGGCTCGGCTCTCCGTGTCTTCGCCAGCCCCCGGCGCCCCCACAGATACTGTTGGGTTGCACCGCGGAGAAGCCAGACGCCAGCCGTGGCCGCTCTTGCAGGGCCCAGAGAGGCTGCTGGTGGCTGTTGGGGAGGTGGTGGTGGTGGGCAGGAAGCCACCGAGGCTGCAGGGGCTGGAAATGAGGCCGAGATTGCTCCCTGTGGCGAGGGCTGGCTGCTCTCATTTCCATCTGGGCGCTTCCACCTCGGGCCCCCGTCTTTGGAGTTGACCACAGAGGTCGGCTTGGGCTGAACGGTGCAGAGGACGAGTGCAGACGGTGGGTCCCGGCTGCCCCCCACGGGGATTCGGTGTGGACTCGGACACCTCTGCCTTCCCAGGGAACCCTTCCGGAGCCCGTCTGTGCGGGGTGCAGGGGCCGTGGCGAGCTGGGGAAGTTTCCGACCCTCGGGGCCTGGGGCCTGGAGGGGACTCAGGCCAGTGCGCCCGCAGGGAGGGGCAGAGCCAGAAGGGACTTTGCCGGGCGTGCGTCCACTGTTCACACGCGGAGATTCCAACCTCGAGAAAAACTGCAGGAAAAGTGTCATTCGCCCTCCCCCACCCCGTTCCCCAGTTCAACTGGCCCCGTCTCTCTCGGGGTAGATGTTTCCTGGGCCATCCGAGAGTAAGCTGGATGCCTGCACACACCAGTGGGTGTTTTCTGAACACAGGGGTGTTTTCTTTCATAACCGCTTCACTGTCACGATGAGGAAATGAGCATCAGCGTCACACCGCTGGCTGGGCCCGGGCCGCCCAGTGACCACATAGCACAAGTCCCGTTTCCCAATTTTAAATGTGCTACCGGCTGTGTGAGAAAAAGGAAGGAGAAATGAGTGAAAGTCACTGTAATGGCACGTTTTGTTTGACTCAGCATGTGCGAAATCCTCCTACCTCCACTGTCACTGAAGGGGCGTCACATGCGTTTCTTTCGGTGTCCAGCCGTGGGTTCCTGGAGCGTGCTCGCACTGACGGGCGTGGACTCCCCCATCCACGTTCGGATTGGGATGTGCCTCTGAGGACCACAGCAGGGTGGACGGGGGAGGGCGCCCGGGTGTGGCGACATGGTGCTGCCGCCCCAGGAGGTGACTGCCAAGCCGCGCAAAGAACTGGAGTCGGTGTATGAGGGTAGAGGGAAGAACATTCCAGGAGCGATGGGTGCAAAGGCCCTGGGGCAGGCAGGAACATGGAGGAATCACCAGGAGGCAGAGGGGGGCAGTCAAAGGGAGGCGGGGGCTGGACCCCACAGGAGCTTGTGGGCCACGGTGAGGGCGCGGGAGCTCCTTGTAGGCACACGGCCAGCCGCCGCATCGGGTGGGGGCGTGATGCCTTCCATGCTGTTTCAGAGTCCCGTGCTGGCTGCTGGGCCCGAGGGGTGGCAGTGGGGTGGGGGAGGTGGGCCCACGGGGGTTACCCTCCGCAGGTCCTGGTGGCAGCCACCACGTTCTGGGTGTCAGCCGCCACCTCATCTGTCCCCACAGGTCCATGAAGCTCATCTACAAGGAGGCGGGGGAATTCGAAGGCATCCCCACCTTTCGCTTCAAGGCCCCCGACACCTTGTTTGCCAACGGGTCCGTGTACCCGCCCAACGAGGGCTTCTGCCCATGCCGGGAGTCCGGGATCCAGAACGTCAGCACCTGCAGGTTCAGTACGTGCCACCCTGACCCGGGCGAGCGGGAGGGCTCATCTGTCCTCTGCACCCCGATAATCCCCGTAGGCCGGAGGTAGGAGGGCAGCAGCAGGATAGCTTGAGAAACCAAGAGCCTTGCGTCTCTGCTGCTGTCGTAATGAATTCCCACCGACTCAGTGGTCTAGAACAGAGGTCACGGCGGTCGGCGTGCTGCTGCTCGGAAGTCTAGCAGCACCTCTCTGAGCCCGGCCGCGGCCACCTCTCCGGCCGTTTGTGTCCAAGGGCCCTGCAGACCACACTGTCCCCGGGCCATCCAGGCCCAGCTCCTGCTGTGTGGCCAGCCGCCAGCCCCCGCCGCCTCGTGCGGGCTCTGCTCCCACACTGCCCCGCCGCTTCCGCAGGGGCTTCGCGGCCGGGCCCTTCCCCCAGGCTGGTCCAGGCCTCTCCAGGCGGCCCCCCGTCATGTTGCTGCTGCCCTGGCAGTCTGTCCCCCAGACCATCCAGCGTGGTCACCGCTGACCTCGTGTGCTGGGCTCAGATGAAATCGAATTAAAAAGGCAGTTCCTGCCGGAGCGGTGTGCTCAGTGGTTAGAACACCGGCCCGCGGGCCTAAGGGTTGCGGGTTTGGTCTCCAGTCAAGGGCACTACCTGGGTTTTGGGTTTGATCCCCAGCCCTGGCTGGGGCACATGCGGGAGGCAACCAGTCCACGTGTCTCTCTCACATCGATGTTTCTTTCTCTCTCCCTCCCCCCCTCCACTCTCTAAAAATCAGTGGAAAAAATATCCTCGAGCCCTGGCCAGTTTGGCTCAGCGGTTAGAGCGTCGGCCTGCGGTCCAGAGAGACCCGGGTTCGGTTCCTGCTAAGGGCACGTACTTCGGTTGCAGTTTGTCCCCGGCCCTGGCTGGTCGTGCGGGTGGCAGCCACTCAATGTGTCCCTTCACGTCGATGTTTCTCTCTCTCTCTCCCTTCCTCTCTCCCCCTCCCACTCTATCTGGACAAAAGATGGAAAAATATCCTCGGGTGAGGATTAAAAAAAAAAAATCCTCGAGTAGGCTTAAAACAACAAACAAAAGATTAAATGAAATAAAAGGCAGGTCCTTGGTGGCGGCTGCCACCTGTGCTGTGATCATTGCCTCGGGATCGCGGCCCGGGCGGGGGCGCGGAAGGCGCTGCGGACCCCGTTCTGGAAGCAGCCGAGACCCTTTCCCAGGCCGTCCACGCCCGTGCTGCAGACACGGCTCCGCACGCGCAGCGCAGACCTCGGCGCTCAGAGCTCGGGCCCGGCCTCCGCCTCGCAAGGTCATTTCCTCTCAGCCCCTCCCCGTCCTTCGGGCCTGTGCCACCTCATCTCGGCGCATCCCCCACAGGGACCTCAAAAGTTTATTTATTTAAAATATGTTTTTATTGGTTTTTTAGGAGAGAGAGATAGAAACACTGATGTGAGAAACATCGATCGGCCGCCTCCTGCGCACCCCTCCTGGGGATCGAGCCCCCAACCTGGGCATGTGCCCTGACCGGGAATTGAACCGGGACCTCTCAGTCCATGGGACAGTGCTCCATCCACTGAGCCATGGTGGCCGCACGCGAGGGAATTTAAAGATGCTTTCGTAAATTTTTTCTATCGTGTGTAATAAACATATATACAGAGAGGTGCCCAGCAGTTTGAGATTCCGAAATGTGAGCTCAGCCCTGTAACCAGCCTCTTGTCTGACAGAACGGGAGCAGGCCTGGGCGGCCCGTGTCCCCCGTCACTGGCCTCCCCCGCCCTTTATCGCAGTGGTCCAGTCCTGTTGCTGTGGGGGCAAGCGTCCTCTTCACTGCTGTGTAGTATTCCTTCCTGGGAACCTCTTGATTCCCTCACCTCTCACTCTTCATGGGAACCTCAGTTTTTGGGTTTGTTCTTTCACACGATCTTAGTGCTGCCGGGAGCATTCTTGCGTATGTTTGGTGCACTTATTTCTGTGGCATTTTATCTGGAGATAAGAATACTCACATATCTCCCTCTGCGGGTCTTGAACATCTCCTGGACGCAGGGAGCTCTGTCCCCTCAAACTTCCGTGCTGTGTAAGGGCCCCAGCGCCCCTTAATCGTGTTCCGTGATGATCCTGGGCAATTAGATAGAATTAGATGTGCCATAAAGGTATAAATTAATTAGCACTTATCAGCTGGGCATGTTTCTCTCACGCCCAAATAAAATGGAAACACACTCATGCTATTGAAAGTCACGTGGACTTACTGTCGAGTCTGGACAGATGATGGCAGGTTGGTCCCGCCCACTTCCCTCTCCCGCTGGCCTTGGGGTCATGGCCAAGGTGCCTGGTTGAGATTCGCCACCTTCAAGGGCCTGGCCTGGCCACTGCCTCCCTTCCTGAAGGCCCCAGAGTTTCGTTCGCCACCTGTGGAAGTGGGTGGAAGTGGGGTTCGTGTGTTGGCTCTGATGGTCTCCTTTCACGGTGCCGTGGGAGGATGGGAGGCGGGGTTGTCCAGACTGTGGGACATTGTCTCTCGGGTGCTCGAGGTGATGTCAGAGGTGCAGGAGGGGCTGTGAGTAACACTGGCACAGCCCCGGAGGCCTGTCTCCCGTTCTCCTGTGTCTCTGCTCACCTCCAGAGGGCGTCTCTGTCGGTGCCGCGAGGGCTTCCGTGCCTTCCAGCGCTGCCTGCCTCTCCTCAGGACAGAGAGAGGGTCTCGGGTCAGAGCCTCGTGCTGGAGCAACGTCTGGCCGGCATGGACGGCGCCGATTGGCTTCTGCTGTGTCTGTTCCTCTGTCCATTCCCAGCGGCGCAAGGCTGGCCAGCTACGGCTCAGATATAAGCCCCTCCCTTTGAAACAGAGCTGGTACCAGCCCCGGCCGGACTGGCTCAGCATTCACAGCGTCGGCCAGAGGGCCAAAAGGGTCTTGGGTTCGATTCCTGGTCAAGGACACGTACCTGGGAGGCAGCCAGTCGATGAGAGAGCAATCTCTCTCTCTCTCTCTCCCCCTCCTGCTTTCTCCTCTCTGTGAAACGCGATGGAAAAAACCCTCGGGTGAGGATTAAAAAATAGATAGATGTAGCTACTTACGTTAGGGCAGTTGGCTCGAGGAAGCCCATTGGGTAATGGTGCTGTGGGGGATCTGGCCGTGTCCAGACGGAAGGGGAGCCGGGATGAGGGATCACTGTTGGGAAGTGGAAGGGCTCCGGGAAAATGAAGGCAGACACCACAAAGTGCCGGGCTCCGCCGAGGATCGCAGCAGCAATGCAGACATCGAGGCGGCCGGACGCGCGCAGGATGCTGGCCCGGCTGCACACGAGCCAGTTTCTGGGAACGAGGCCTCATGAGCTGAGCTCGTCTCTTCTTGAAAACGTCCTTCTCGCCCTGGCCGGTTTGGCTCAGCGGTTGGAGCGTCCGCCTGCGGTCCGGAGAGACCCGGGTTCGGTTCCCGCTAAGGGCATGTACCTCGGTTGCAGTTTGTCCCCGGCCCTGGTTGGTCGTGCGGGTGGCAGCCACTCGATGTGTCCCTTTCACATCGATGTTTCCCTCTCTCTCTCTTCCTCTCTCTCCCTCCCACTCTGTCTGTACAAAAAATGGAAAAATGTCCTCAGGTGAGGATAAAAAAAAAAAAAAAAAAACAAACAAAAAAAAAAAACGTCCTTCTCTCTCCTTATTGAGGCGACGTTCACAGAACATAAAACGAACCGTGTGAACACGCCCAGTCCCCTCGCACGTTCACGACCGCCTGCGGCCACCTCCGCCTGGTTTCGGAACGTGCTCAACGCCCCGGAGGAGACCTGTCCCGGAGCGGTCGGCCCTCCCCGCTGCCGCCCCCGGCCAGCTGCAGTCTGCTGCCGGGCGGTTCCCGCAGGCTGTCCGCCCCCCTGGCCGGCTGCTGGAGAGGTCCGGCCTCGCATGTCTGGGTGTGAGTTTCTCACACCGGCCGAGTCGGTGTCCACCCTGCAGACCAGCCTCTGGGCGAGAGCGGAGCAGGTGTGTCCCCCCGCCCTGGGTTCTAGGGAGGCCCGGCCACAGGGCGCACGTCTGAGCCTGCCTGACCGCGGCTGCGTCACCTGCAGAAGACCTGCCGGGCTGCTTGGCTTGGCGATCGAGTTGCTCCACCCCCAAGCCCGAGGTCAAACCTGGCCTCCCTCACCTCTGTGTCCTCAGCTCCCAGTCCCCTTTGCACCCCTGCCCTGGCGTCTGCCCCTCCTCCTCCTGTCTGTGCCGTGACCTCTGACCTCTGGCCTGGGCCTGGCCTCCTGCAGCCATCCCCCCCCCACATCGCCCCTGCCTGGAATCAGTAGCCCCGCAGCCCTCGGGTTACCACTCCCACAGCACGGGGCTTGTCCGCTGCCCGTTCAGTGCCCAGGGCCGCTGGGGCGCCGTTCAGACGAATGAAGGCATGCTGTCTGTCTGGTTATTGTTGTCTGCATCCTGTCATCGTCCCGGGCCCTCTGCAGGTGACGTCTGTGTCATTGTCCCTGCATGGAGCCTGTGGCCGTGCCAACGCGCCCCCTCGTCTGACGCCGCTCTCTGCCCTCTGCCTTCCAGACGCACCCTTGTTTCTCTCCCACCCCCACTTCTACAACGCCGACCCCGTCTTGGCTGAGGCAGTGTTCGGCCTGCACCCCAACGAGAAGGACCACTCCCTATTCCTGGACATCCACCCGGTGAGACCCCGCCGGTCAGCCTGTGGGGGGTTCCACCTGCTGCACAGACGGCCCCCGCTTCCCCCAGGCACCTAGCTGTTGGGGCGGGGAGGGTGGGGGGAAGCCTGGCTTTCTTTGGCTCTGATAGCTTCTGGAATGTCACACCGTCCGTCCAGGTCCCTCCTTTGCTCTGACTCCATAGTTCAAGAACTTTATGATCTCCCTGTAAGAAAATCATGCCCGTAAAAGGGCCATAAGACAGTAAATTAATTAGGAGTTATCAGCCTGTCAATTAGCTGGAGGCAGCCATCTGGTTACGCCAGCATACCTTTGAGATCCTGGAGTTATCTTGCAGATAAACTGGCTTCGGGGGATTCCAGCAGACTCGAGGCCTCGAGGCCTGTCTGTTCTCACATCACCCCCCACCCGCCCTCTGCGGAGAAACAGGCAGTTAAGTTTAGGAGGCCGGAGACACCCACAGCTGGTTTGTGCTCACAGCTGGCCCCTCTCACTGTGGGTCAGCGTGGCCAGGGGGCCAGGAGAGGAGGCAGCCTTCCATTTTCCCCTGTTTGGCTGTGCCCTGGGTGTGGGGAGGGGTCAGAGCTGTGCCCTGGGTGTGGGGAGGGGTCAGAGCTGTGCCCTGGGTGTGGGGAGGGGTCAGAGCAGTGCCCTGGGTGTGGGGAGGGGTCAGAGCAGTGCCCTGGGTGTGGGGAGGGGTCAGAGCAGTGCTCTGGGTGTGGGGAGGGGTCAGAGCAGTGCCCTGGGTGTGGGGAGGGGTCAGAGTTGTGCCCTGGGTGTGGGGAGGGGTCAGAGCTGTGCCCTGGGTGTGGGGAGGGGTCAGAGCTGCGCCCTGGGTGTGGGGAGGGGTCAGAGCTGCGCCCTGGGTGGGGGGAGGGGTCAGAGCCGAGGCTGTGCCCTGGGTGTGGGGAGGGGTCAGAGCTGCGCCCTGGGTGTGGGGAGGGGTCAGAGCTGCGCCCTGGGTGTGGGGAGGGGTCAGAGCTGCGCCCTGGGTGTGGGGAGGGGTCAGAGCTGCGCCCTGGGTGTGGGGAGGGGTCAGAGCTGTGCCCTGGGTGTGGGGAGGGGTCAGAACCGAGGCTGTGCCCTGGGTGCAATCCACACAAAAAAACTGTCTCATTTAAGAAAAATAGATTCTGCACAGAGGAAGCTTTCTGTCACTACCTTAAACTGGGAATTTTACCCCCCCTGAGAACTAGCCACAACGATAAACAAGTAAACATGGCAGCCGAGAGGAGACGGCTGAACCCGCAAACCCAAATCCGCTGTATTGAATTCGGAGGGTGGAGGGAGGGGTGGTGACTGTGGCTAGAAAGGTCTCTGCAGTTGGGAAGCTTCACGGTCAGAGGACAGAGCCCAGGACAAGGGCGTTTCCATCCACGGAGGCTCTCCGGAGGGCCCTCGAGGCCTTTGGGAAGCATGTGTTCACCTGTCAGGGTTTAGAGTGAGCTAGGAGACCCGGGAGCAGGCACTGAGCTGGGACACCCCCCGAGCGTGGGGGTGTTTTGCTGGTGTGCTGGGCTCCGGGAAGGCTCCCTGTGCCGGGCTCCAGGAAGGCTCCCTGTGCCGGGCTCCAGGAGGGCTCCCTGTGCCGGGCTCCAGGAGGGCTCCCTGTGCCGGGCTCCAGGAGGGCTCCCTGTGCCGGGCTCCAGGAGGGCTCCCTGTGCCGGGCTCCAGGAAGGCTCCCTGTGCCGGGCTCCAGGAGGGCTCCCTGTGCCGGGCTCCAGGAGGGCTCCCTGTGCCGGGCTCCAGGAAGGCTCCCTGTGCTGGTTGCCGGGCTCCAGGAAGGCTCCCTGTGCTGGTTGCCGTGCTGCAGGAAGGCTCCCTGTGCCGGGCTCCAGGAAGGCTCCCTGTGCTGGTTGCCGGGCTCCGGGAAGGCTCCCTGTGCTGGTTGCCGGGCTGCAGGAAGGCTCCCTGTGCTGGTGTGCCGGGCTCCAGGAAGGCTCCCTGTGCTGGTTGCCGGGCTCCAGGAAGGCTCCCTGTGCTGGTTGCCGGGCTGCAGGAAGGCTCCCTGTGCCGGGCTCCAGGAGGGCTCCCTGTGCCGGGCTCCAGGAAGGCTCCCTGTGCTGGTTGCCGGGCTCCGGGAAGGCTCCCTGTGCTGGTTGCCGGGCTCCGGGAAGGCTCCCTGTGCTGGTTGCCGGGCTCCAGGAAGGCTCCCTCTGCTGGTTGCCGGGCTCCAGGAAGGCTCCCTGTGCCGGGCTCACTGTTGTCCCCACAGGTCACGGGAATCCCCATGAACTGCTCCGTGAAGCTGCAGCTGAGCCTCTACATCAAGGCCGTGAAGGGCATCGGGTGAGTGAGCTCAGAGACGGGGCCGGGGTCTGGGGGGCTTCCCCCCTGGGTGTGGGCTCAGAGACGGGGCCGGGGACTGGGGGGCTTCTCTCCTGGGTGTGGGCTCAGAGACAGGGCCAGGGTCTGGGGGGCTTCCCCCCTGGGTGTGGGCTCAGAGACGGGGCCGGGGACTGGGGGCTTCTCTCCTGGGTGTGGGCTCAGAGACGGGGCCGGGGTCTGGGGGGCTTCCCTCCTGGGTGTGGGCTCAGAGACGGGGCCGGGGTCTGGGGGGCTTCCCTCCTGGGTGTGGGCTCAGAGACGGGGCCGGGGTCTGGGGGGCTTCCCTCCTGGGTGTGGGCTCAGAGACGGGGCCGGGGTCTGGGGGGGCTTCCCTCCTGGGTGTGAGCTCAGAGACGGGGCCGGGGACTGGGGGGCTTCCCTCCTGGGTGTGGGCTCAGAGACGGGGCCGGGTCTGGGGGGCTTCCCTCCTGGGTGTGGGCTCAGAGACAGGGCCGGGGTCTGGGGGCTTCCCTCCTGGTGTGGGCTCGAGACAGGGCCGGGTCTGGTGGGGCTTCCCCCCTGGGTTGGGCTCAGAGAAGGGGCCGGGGTACTGGGGGGCTTCCCTCCTGGGTGTGGGCTCAGAGACAGGGCCGGGGCCTGGGGGGCTTCCCCCCTGGGTGTGGGCTCAGAGACGGGGCCGGGGTCTGGGGGGCTTCCCTCCTGGGTGTGAGCTCAGAGACAGGGCCGGGGTCTGGGGGGCTTCCCTCCTGGGTGTGAGCTCAGAGACGGGGCCGGGGACTGGGGGGCTTCCCTCCTGGGTGTGGGCTCAGAGACGGGGCCGGGGTCTGGGGGGCTGCCCCCTGGGTGTGAGCTCAGAGACGGGGCCGGGGTCTGGGGGGCTTCCCTCCTGGGTGTGGGCTCAGAGACGGGGCCGGGGTCTGGGGGGGTTTCCCTCCTGGGTGTGGGCTCAGAGACGGGGCCGGGGACTGGGGGGCTTCCCTCCTGGGTGTGGGCTCAGAGACGGGGCCGGGGTCTGGGGGGCTTCCCTCCTGGGTGTGAGCTCAGAGACAGGGCCGGGGTCTGGGGGCTGCCCCCCCGGGTGTGGGCTCTGGTCCCTGCCATCACTCCTCCATCAGGAGGTCCCTCCTGCATCCTGACATCTCTGCTTCAGAATCCCCTCGTCCTCCCAACCTTTGTCCCCAGTTTCGGCAGAATGTGGGGCTCAGCTGCCTGCTGTAGCAGAGGGCCCCGCGGAATCCCTGGCGAAGGTGGGCGTCCCACAGTGGGGGCTCACTGGCCGGCACTCTGCTCAGCTCCTTTTGTGGGCGGGCTGCTTTATGCACTGATTTTGTTGAAAAAAAATTTTTTCTTTATCCTCACCCAAGGACATTTTTGCATTTATCTTCAGATAGAGCGGGAGGGAGAGAGGGGGGAAGAGAGAGAGAGAAACATCGATGTGAGAGAGACACATCAACTGGTTGCCACCCACACGACCCCAACCGGGGCCGGGGACAAACTGCAACCAAGGTACGTGCCCCTACTGGAAACCGAACCCAGGCCTCTCTGGTCTGCGGGCCGACGCTCTAACTGCTGAGCCACATCAGCCAGGGCAAAAAAAAAAAAAATTTAATAACTGCTTTATCAAGCAGTTCACATACTATATTATTAATTCGCATACTATAAAACCCGCCCTTTGCCCTGGTCAGCAAACTCAATGGTTACAGCGTCGACCTACAGACCGAAGGATTGAGGGTTTGATTGCCAGGCAAGAGCATGTACCTGGGTTGCAGGTTCGATTCCTGGCCCTGGTCAGGGTTGTGCGGGAGACAGCCAATTGGTGTGTCTCTCACATCACATCGATGTTTCTCTCTCTCTCTCTCTCTCTCTCCTTCTTCCCTTTCACTCTCTCTAAAATCAATAGAAAAAAATATCCTCGGGTGAGGATTAAAAAACAAAACAAAAAAATACCTACCCTTTAAAAATGTATAATTCAGTGACTGTAGTACATGCAGAGTTGTGCGACCATCACCCCTACTTTAGGACATTCCCGTCAACCCCCAAAGGCACCCTGTCCCCATGAGCAGTCACTTCCCGTTTCCCACGTGTGCGGCAACCACCCATCTACTTCCTGTCTCTGTGGATTCGCCTGTTTTGGACATTTCTTGCAAATGGAATCACGCGCTATGTGGCCTCTGTGTATGGCTTCTCTCAGTGTCACGTTCTTGTTTTTTTTAGTTTTTTTCTTTATTGATTTTTAGAGAGAGAGAGAAACATCGATGAGAGAGAACATCGATTGGCCGCCTCCTGCATGCCCCCCACTGGGGATCGGCCCACAACCTGGGCATGTGCCCTGACCGGGAATCAGACCGGCGACCTCTTGGTGCATGGGTCAATGCTCAACCACTGAGCCACACCAGCCAGGCAAGTGTCATGTTCTCAAGGTTCATCCACATTGTAGCAGGTGCTTTGTTCCTGTTCATGGCCGAGTAATATTCCACTGTCAGGACCGACCATGTTTTATTGATTCTTTGGATTGTTTCTAGTTTTCGGCCACTGTGAACAGCTGCTACGACAGTTCATGTCTAAGTTTCCCTGGACTCTGGTTCTCCTTTCTCTGGGTCGACACCTAGGCGCAGACTTGCTGAGTCAGATGGTAACTCGGTGTTGACGGTTTGAGGAACTGCCAGGCTGTTTCCCACAGCGGCTGCGTTCCCGCCAGCTGTGCGGAGGCTCCGGCTTCCCGTGCTCGCCGGCTCTTGCTCTGTAACGCGATGTTTTGACCACACCGAGTGCGGGAGCACACCAGTGCATCTCATGTCAACGTCGGTACTTGTCAGCATATTTGAAATAGTTTCATTGGAAAGCCATCTCGTAGAGAGATTCCCGGCTGCAGGATGGTGGTCTGTGCGGCCTGGGAGCACTCCTGTGGGCAGTGGGGAATGGCAGGGCCATGCTGGCCTCTGGCTGCTCTCCCCTGGCACAGGCTCCTTCAGGAGGGCGTGTGGGCTGTGGAAGACACTGTGCCATCGGCACCGGTCTGGTAGCCTGACCGTGCCTGTGTGGGCGCGTGGCAGGGCAGAGGCCAGGCTGGGTGGGCTGGGGCCACGGGCAAGGGAAGGGGCTCAGTGTAGTCTCAGCGTTTAAAAAAATCTGGATTTTGTCCTGGCCGGTTTGGCTCAGTGGTTGGAGCGGTGGTCCTTGGACCAGAGTCACGGGTTCGACTCCTCGTCAAGGGCAGCAACCTCGATTCCCGGTCCTGGTCAGAGTTGTGCAAGAGGCAACCAATCTGTGTCTTTCTCACCTCAGTGTTTCTCTCTCTCTCCCTCTCCCTCCCTGTCTCCCATTCTGTCTAAAAATCAATGGAAAAATATCCTTGGGGGAGGATTAAAAAAAAAAAAATCTGGAATTTAACATGAGCTCCTTGCATTTTCACCTGTCGGGAGTGAATTCACATTCTTGACAGACACTGCCCAAGCCAGCAGAACACTGGGGTGGGGGCTGGGTTCTGCCTGTTGGGGGTCTCAGGCTGTGACCCTGACCTTCCTGAGCATCTGTGTCCCCGTCTGTGCAGGGTGGGGGCGCGCACAGCAGCCTGATGTCCCACCAGCTGGAGCCCTGGCCTCAAGGCGGCCGGTCCCGGTCGCAGGGCTTGTCGCCACCTGGAGGCGGAGGAGGGATGGTCAGGAACCTGCTCTCGGCTCACGGGATCTGTCTTGTGATGAACGCTGTTCGCACTGAACGCACGTCAGTTGTTACAGACGCAGGGTCGAAAGAGGCCAAAGCCTGTTTCCAGTGTTGTTTCCGCGTCTCTGCCCTGTGGGCGATGCTGTGTGAATTCATCACGCCTCACACAGCTCTGCCCGGCACAAACCACACTCTTGTCAGCCGGTGCTGTGCCCGAATGAGGCCGGGCCCCTCTACAGGGACGGCTGGGTGTCAGCTAGGTCGTGGGCAGCCCTGCCGCTTAGATGGGAGGTGTTGTTGTCAAATGTTTTTATTGATTTGAGAGAGAGAGGAGGAGAGCGGGAGAGAGACAGAAACTGATTGGCCGCCTCCTGCACGCCCCCTACTGGGGATGGAGCCGAAACCCGGGCCTGTGCCCTGACCCTTTTGGTGCATGGGCGACGCCCACCACTGAGCCACCCGGTCCGGGCGGATGAGTTTTGACGGGAAAAGGTCTTGTCTGATGGTCAGATTGCTCCTGCCCGGAAAGGTCCGTCTCTCGAGCCTGCCCCAATGGCGTCGCTGCTCAAAGCCCTCCTGCCCCTGGAGCTCACAACCGAATGTCCGGCCCGGCCCCACGGCAGACCCCCTGGCGAAACCCCTCACTCTTTGTCTCCCTTTCCAGGCAAACCAGGAATATCCAGCCTGTGGTCTTGCCGCTGGTGTGGTTTGAGGAGGTAAGGCCACCTCGCTGTCCCTGCACGGGGCTCCGTGGCACCGAAGTGGGGGGCCTGTGTGGGCCTTTGACGCAGGGGCTGTTGGTGGGGGGTGGGGGGGCTGGGCCCGGGGAATGGACTGTGCGTCCGAGAACCATCCACGGGGAACTTCCCACTCTGCAGGCACCTGGGCAAAGGCAGAAGCTCCGGGAAACGACAGCCCCAGCCCAGGTCCCCGTTATCTGAATGCGCATGACCTCTTCTGAGGCGAGGGAGCTGGTTTCGGGGTGTTGGCGTTTCCTGTGCACTTCCTTCCCTCCGGCTTGTCGGGGCTTCTCCTGGCCTCGATCCTCTTAGACCGGGGAGAGCTGAGGGCTGAGCAGGAGCCTCCGAGGGCCGGGTTCACGGCAGGCTGACGTGGGCTTCTGGGGGGCAGAGCCCCTCCCACGCCGCCACGCAGGGTGGGCCAGGCTCCTTCCGCCCTGTGGACCCTCAGGGTCCATCCCAGTTCAGTGGGTGGGGGACATGATGGGGAGAATCTGGGGGAGGCTGTCACCAGCCAGGTGTGGACATTGTAACATTTCTGTGCCCATGTCCCATTGGCCAGGATGCCTTCACATGGCCCTGCCAGCTGCAAGGGAGTCTGGGAAATGTAGTGTCTTCGTGTGGCCCTGGAGGAGATGGAGGCCACCAGCAGGCTTGAGTGGGGAAGGGGTGCGGGGACAGGGCTGCGGCGTGGGGTGGCATCTGTGTTTGTCCTTCTCCCTCCGCAGAGAGGGGCCATGGAGGGCGAGACCCTCCAGAAGTTCTACACACAGCTGGTGCTGATGCCCAAGTTGCTGCACTACGCCCAGTACGTGCTCCTCGCCCTGGGCTGCCTCCTGCTGCTCGTCCCCGTTGTCTACCAGATCCGGACCCAAGTAAGTGGGGGCCTCTCACTGCTCGCCTGCTGGGGGAACGGGGCTGCATGGGACCCCCCACCCCCACCCCGTCCTTTCCTGCTGTGCCTGTCCGAGCTCTGTGCGGGGGCGGGGAAGCTGTCCCTGCATCCCTGCACCCTGCATGCTCCTCTGCCTGCTCGGGGAGGCCTGGGGACCCTCCCCTGGAGGGGCTGCGGTGGTTTTGTGATGAGACCTGGTGCTTAAATGCCTTGTTCGTCGGCAGCGCCTGCTGGGTGCTTGGCCCTGTCGGGTGACGGGCACAGCAATGAACAAGGCAGACGGGGTGGGGTGCAGGTGAGACAGGCAAATACACACGAGGTCAGTGCCCTGGTGAGAAGGACAGGCTAGAGCAGGGCTGCCCGTAGAGACACGGCCCCAGCCACGTGTGTGCTTTTAGATTCGAGTTTTCTAATGGCCACGTCAACTACAAACATTAACTTTAATCACGTATCGTATGTAACCGGAATACATCCAAAATATGACCATTTCAACACGTAATCCATATAAAAATATCAATATTAATGCTTTGCATTAGCTTTTTCACGTTAGGTCCTTGAAGCCCAGTGTGTGTCTTACTCTTCCAGCGGGTCTGCCCGCTGCATGTCTGGCTACTGGCCTGGACGGCACAGAGTCCAGGGAGGCTGGGGACAGCTATAGCGAGTGTCAGGAAAGGCTTCTTATCTGAGGTAGGATTTAAGCTCAGATGTGAATGCTAAGGAGGCACAGGAAGAATTCCCCTCGGGAAGGAACAGCCCGTGCAAAGGCCCCGAGGCCGCGATGCACTGGGCACAGAGCCACAGGATGAATTCCCCTCAGGAAGGAACAGCCCGTGCAAAGGCCCCGAGGCCACGATGCACTGGGCACAGAGCCACAAGATGAATTCCCCTCGGGAAGGAACAGCCCGTGCAAAGGCCCCGAGGCCGCGATGCACTGGGCACAGAGCCACAAGATGAATTCCCCTCAGGAAGGAACAGCCCCTGCAAAGGCCCCGAGGCCACGATGCACTGGGCACAGAGCCACAGGATGAATTCCGCTCGGGAAGGAACAGCCCGTGCAAAGGCCCCGAGGCCGCGATGCACTGGGCACAGAGCCACAAGATGAATTCCCCTCAGGAAGGAACAGCCCGTGCAAAGGCCCCGAGGCCACGATGCACTGGGCACAGAGCCACAGGATGAATTCCGCTCGGGAAGGAACAGCCCGTGCAAAGGCCCCGAGGCCGCGATGCACTGGGCACAGAGCCACAAGATGAATTCCCCTCAGGAAGGAACAGCCCGTGCAAAGGCCCCGAGGCCACGATGCACTGGGCACAGAGCCACAGGATGAATTCCCCTCGGGAAGGAACAGCCCGTGCAAAGGCCCCGAGGCCACGATGCACTGGGCACAGAGCCACAGGATGAATTCCCCTCAGGAAGGAACAGCCCGTGCAAAGGCCCCGAGGCCACGATGCACTGGGCACAGAGCCACAGGATGAATTCCGCTCGGGAAGGAACAGCCCGTGCAAAGGCCCCGAGGCCACGATGCACTGGGCACAGAGCCACAGGATGAATTCCCCTCAGGAAGGAACAGCCCGTGCAAAGGCCCCGAGGCCGCGATGCACTGGGCACAGAGCCACAGGATGAATTCCCCTCAGGAAGGAACAGTCCGTGCAAAGGCCCCGAGGCCACGATGCACTGGGCACAGAGCCACAGGATGAATTCCCCTCAGGAAGGAACAGCCCGTGCAAAGGCCCCGAGGCCGCGATGCACTGGGCACAGAGCCACAGGATGAATTCCCCTCGGGAAGGAACAGCCCGTGCAAAGGCCCCGAGGCCACGATGCACTGGGCACAGAGCCACAGGATGAATTCCCCTCGGGAAGGAACAGCCCGTGCAAAGGCCCCGAGGCCACGATGCACTGGGCACAGAGCCACAGGATGAATTCCCCTCAGGAAGGAACAGCCCGTGCAAAGGCCCCGAGGCCGTGATGCACTGGGCACAGAGCCACAGGATGAATTCCCCTCGGGAAGGAACAGCCTGTGCAAAGGCCCCGAGGCCGCGATGCACTGGGCACAGAGCCACAGGATGAATTCCCCTCGGGAACGAACAGCCAGTGCAAAGGCCCCGAGGCACCGGGGGGGTGAGGCTTCGGAGGGGACGCCACAGAGCCAGGAGCTGGAAGGGAGTGAGGTGATGTCTGACAGGGGCAGGGGCAGGTCACACTGGGCCCTGCAGCACAGGGTGAGCCGCTTGGAACCGATTCCTGGGTGACAGGAAGCTATTGGAGGCTTTTCAGGAGAGGAGTGGCTGAGTCAGCTGCTGTGTGGGGACGAGGCCCTCCGTGGGAGGGGCAGAAGCAGGGGGCTAGTGAGGAGACCCAGGTGAGCAAGGTGGTGGCTCAGACCAGAGTGGGCACACTGGCTATTTTTGGAAGGAGGCGTAGTCAGAGAGGGCTCTAAAGGCAGGAAGACGGGGGACAAGATACACTCCTTGACTTGAGCCCTTCATTCATTCACTCATCCATTCATTCAATACCCCATTATCCCATTCATTCTGTCATTCACCTGCCCATTCTTCTATTATCCCATTGATTCTGTCATTCTCTCACCCATTCATACATTCATTCATCCATTCACTCACCCATTCATTCATTCCTCACCCATGGCATTGACACCCCTCTGGTGAGCAGCTGTGCTCCAGGCACCATGCACAATTTGGGGGAGACCAGGGAGCAAATCAGACTGGAAGCAGTTCCTGAGGTCACATGGCCACAGCCTGTGATCCGGGGCTCCGGGGCAGTGCGGCTGGGGGAGCAGCTGTGCGGTGGGGAAGGGACATGCAGGGAGTGTCTGAGAAACCACCGGGGATCCATGAACCACCCTGTCCTGGGCCCCAGGCCGAGGCCTTGGTCGGGGTGCTGCCCTGGGCCTCGCAGTGTCTGCTTTCTGCCTCGGCTTGGGGGACGGCTTGGGGGACGGCTCTCTCCTTCCCGGGGGCTTGCTCGCCGGCGGGCTTGCAGCGGCCGCGGTAACCCTCCCCGCTCAGCTGGGCTTCCAGACCCTTAACCCACGCCCCTCCCGTGGGGAAAGGTTCACGCTGGAGCGAGCGAGGTGCCAGCTCTCGCCGCGTCACGGCCTCTGGTGTTTGAACCCCGATGAACATGAACGTTGGGTGTCACAAGACCGCGGGGGCCCTTGTGCTCTGTCACTGCCCCAGGACAGCCAGGCTGAGCGGGGCTGACACTCCAGGGAGCAGAAGGGAGTCCCTACGGTTTTCGATTAAATTCTGCTGGGAGGGCGGAAGGGACTAGAAGCCAGAGCTCCCGGCCTGGGCTGCTCCCTGGGCGGGTTTCCCCCAGTGAAGACACGGCACATGCGGGGGCTCCTCGGGGACCGGCTGGTGGGGGAGGCCAGGGCAGCCTGTCGCCCTGTCTCCTAATTGTCCGTCACACAGGGGCCAGGAGGAGAGTGAGGACACCATGGGAAGTGCTGGCTCGGGCCCCTTCCCTGCCTCCCCCTCCCCAGACTGTCAGGCCCCAACCCAATGAGAAGGCCGATGTTTTACTGTTCCCACCGAGGGGTGGGCTGGGGCCCTCCCCCAGGTGTCTGAGGCCACCTCCCCCAGGTGTCTGAGGCCAGTAACTGAACTGGATGCCTCGAGCTGGCTGGGCTGAGGTTGGGCCTCCATGTTTCTGTGTTTGTCCCGACTGATCAAAACAAAAGGGCCTCAGGGCTGAGCTCCCCGCACTTTAACGTCCTCCAGAGAAGCTTGTCTTCTCACAGTTCATTCTTTACAAGGAAAGTCTTGCAACAGGAAAACCCCTGTTTTGGGTCGATTTAAAATGCGCCCTGCTCGACCCGCGGACTCCTGGCCAGTCCACCCGCCCGATCGCTCCGTTTTCCAGTGGACGAACCTTTCGGCCTGGCCTGGCCCGCTGGCCAAGCGTGTTTCCTCACGATGCCGGTGTTTCCGCCCCTGGTGAAGGGCGGCGTGACTCCCCGAATCTCAGCCAACCCCAGTGATCCACGGGGTCGGACTTGAGCGTTCCACACCCCTCCGCTTCCGGGAAACGAAAGAACCCCTGAAGCCTTCTCTGCTCAGCTGCAACGTCAACTATAAATTAGCTTGGTTATCTTCTAGGAGAGATGCTATTTATTTTGGAGTAGTAATAAAAAGGGCTCAAAGGATAAGGAGGCCATGCAGGCCTATTCTGAATCCCTGATGACATCAGCTCCCAAAGGCGCTGTGCTGCAGGAGGCGAGACTGTAGGTGGGTACAGGTAAGGGTGCCTCCCCGCCCCCTCCCGTAGCGGGTAGAACTCGGGCGGCCTGAAACAGTGTGGATCTGACATCCCTCAGCCTGGACCCCACCCGGAGTGCGGACAGACAGACCGCCCGTGCGTCTGCTTTGCCACTCCCGTGCATGGCAGCTTCTTCCTTGCAGGACGCCCGGTGTCCGCGGGCTGGCGTGTTACTCGCAAGGTTGTGTTAGGAAAGGCTGTGGAGTTGGGGCAGCTGCCCTTCCAACCCCTGGTGCGAGAGCGCCCTCTAGGGACAGTTGCTGAAAATGCAGCTCCTGCACCTGCTGTAGAAACTGGCTGTGGAATCCGTGTTTAAGGGACCCCCACGGGGATCCTGGTGCAGATGGGTCTACATAAATCCAGGGTGACTGGGCCGCATCCCACTAGGTCTGAGGTCTTAGGAGAGCCGGTCCCGCCAGGGGAGGCAGGCAGAACTCCAGGCCCACTGTCCCACCGTCGGGTTGGGCCGAGCTGAGCTGCTCTAGGGTTGTACCTCTGATAATAGCTGTTATGTTGTGTTTATACACACACACATACATATATAATTTTCTCCCATACAGTTAAAAATTTTTAAATGTATTTATTGATCTTAGGAAGAGAGGGAAGGGGAGAGAGAGAGAGAGAGACAGAGAGCGAGCGAGCAATGTGCTTGCTGTTCCATCACCTCTGCATTCATTGGTTGACTCTTGCATGTGCCCTGACCGGGGATCGAAGCCGCAACCTCGGCCTATCGGGACAACGCTCTAACCCACTGAGCTACCCGGTCAGGGCTATTACTTTGGTTTCTGAAGAATGTGCTGCCCCCTCGAGCTGCTGGGCCACTTGGGTTTAAGTAGCTTCCTCAAGCCACAGGCCGGGTGAGGCAACAGCCCTGCCATTCGGCCCGTGGCCGCCTCCGGTCCCGACCCCAGCACTGGGGGGGAGTAAGAGAAAATGCAGGGATGCAGGCCCCCTGAGGAGGAGGAAGGGGTGGGGGAGGGAGGAAGGGTCAGCTGAGTCCCCAGCCAGGCTGGGGGGGGGGGGGGCTTCTCCTGAAATTTGGGAATAAGAGGGCAGGGCCCAATCAGGCCAGGAATAGGCGTTAAGGTGACTCCCGGTCCCCAGGCTTGGGGGCGGGGCATTCTCCCTGTCCTTCCTCCCAAGAATCTCTCAGGAATGCTTCCTCGCGTGCCCTTTGGCCGCATTGGCACTGCCTGCCCCTTCCAGCCAGCTCCCTTCGGCACAGATTTGCTTGGTATTCTGGGGGGGGGGTAGGGGGGTCGTCAGGCACAGGGAGGGGTCGCTAGCTGTAGCCCAGGTGGAGCTGCTGGTTGGGAGGTCAGAACCGCATGAAGCACCTCCCCGGACATGGCCAGGATGCCTGCCCCTCCCCCATAAAAACCGAACCGGGGTCTTTTCTTGCTCCGGCAACAGAACCCAATGCTCAAGCATGCAGGCAGCTTCCAGCCTGGGTCCTGGGGAGGCCACACCGGCACCGGGCACGGGGTGCCTGAGGCTGCCTCACTCGGGAAGGCAGGACAGGTGGCCTGGCACACGGCACGCAGACAAGCTGGGCGCCCTTCCGGAGGATGTCCCCTTCCTCCCTTCTCATCACTGTGTCTCCTGTGCCAGGCCCCACCCGGCACACCCAGGGGGAGGGGAACAGGAGGGGAGGGGCCCCTCCCCCCTCTGGCCCCAAGAGTATGTAGCATGTTTCCTGGAAAACTCTTTCCCCTTTTACTTCTGAGGGAGGTGTCTCGAGCTGTGGCTCTGGGCCCACACTGCTGAGGGTCTGGCCCCCCGGGGGTCCCGTGCTGCCTGTGTGGGGGGGTGAGCCCCGTGGAGCCCCAGGGTGAAGCCAGCCCGGGTGAGCTCGGGCATTCAGAGGAGCCTCTGCCTTCTCGGGAAGGTTTAGGGTTAGGGGGGAAGAGTAGCCCCAATTCTTATCTTTAACTTATTTTTGGAGAAAAAAATGTTTAAATGGAAAACTAGACAAATCACAGTACCCGTGAGCTCCCTCTCGCCCTGACTCAGCAGCTCGTTAACATTTTAACGCTGTTAGCACTACTAATGTTAACATTTTGTCTGCTTTCGCCTGGTCTCGGGGGTCACGGCCCGTGTCACTCTGCAGCTGGCTCCCAGCCCTGTCCGTGGCCGCTGTCTCGGCCGAGGGCCCCTTGCGGCTGCGCTTGGAACGCTTTCTGTCGACGAGCAGCAGGCTGTGTCCTGACTGAGTTAACAGGCTGCGTGTAAGCCTCGGGCCCTTGCTCTGCCTTCCCACGGCCCGGCAGGCCCTCTGCGCCTCAGTTTCCCCAGCTCTCAGATACAGTGAGGGCGGGGCGGGGCGGGGCGGGGTGTGTCTGGTGAGATGTGGACCTGCCAGGTCCCCCGAGCTTTTCAGACGGTGCTGCTGACGGGGAGGCCGTGGGCTTTCTGCACTGCCCGGGGTGTGGGCAGAGCCGGGGTGGGGTGGGCTGGGGCTGGGGCGTGAATCCAGCCCCCCCTTTCTCCACAGGGTCCCAGAGAGGCCAAGAGCCAGCCGAGCTCTGCCGCTCAGCCAGACCGGCTCCCCAGCCCCTGCACCCCACTTCTTCAGGACTCTCTCAGCGGACAGCCTGCCAGTCCCAAAGTCTGAGCCTCCAGTTGTCACACCCCAACACGTCCGCACCCCGGGTGCACGGGTGCGGCCGACACTCAGGGACAGGTGCTCTGAGGGACTCACGGAGGGGCCGCCAGCAGGACCTGCTCCGGAAGCTCTCCAGTGTCCACACGTGGGCCAGCCCTCAGCCCCTGGGCCACCCCTCCCAGCTCCCTCGCCTACAGCCTGGGGACACTGTGGCCCCGCTCGGTGTCCCCCCGCAGGACAAGCAGCCGCTGTCTGGGAACCCAGCCAGAGTGCGGGCTTCGCGCCAAAGCCAGGTGCACAGCCGGGGCTCAGGGCCCAGCCGGGGTCTCTGCACCCATCCGGGCCGGGGCACAGCCACACCAGCTCAGAACCAGCACGAGAGACGCCCCGTGCAGCTGCCCGGCTGTGTCCTCACCCCCCAGGACCGTGATCCTGAGGCTGGGTGTCTGGAGCCCCGTCCCTCCAGCGACACTGACATCATGCTGTATACTGAGCCGGCCACTCCCTGGCTGGGGTGGCGGAGGCTCTGCCCGAGCTGCCCCACGGGGGCCGCGTCTCTTAGGTGCCGGGCCAGGGGGAGACCCGTCCACCTGCGGCTTCTGGTCTCCGGGGCAAGCCTCTGTCTCTTTTCTACTAGAAGAAAAATGAGTTTTATCATCTTTTTAAAACAATTCACGATTGAAGTAATAAACCTTTTATTTTTTTTTTTTTTTTTTTTCCATTTTTTGTACAGATAGATTGGGAGGGAGAGAGAGAAAGGGAGAGAGAGAGAGAAACATCGATGTGAAGGGACACATCAAGTGGCTGCCACCCACACGACCAACCAGGGCCGGGGACAAACTGCAACCGAAGTACGTGCCCTTAGCGGGAACCGAACCCGGGTCTCTCCGGACCGCAGGCCGACGCTCTAACCGCTGAGCCAAACTGGCCAGGGCTGAAGTAATAAACCTTTTAAAAAAGCGAACACGTGAGTCTGTGAGTCCGTCGGCTGGCGGGGGTTGGGGACAGCCTCCTGGGACGTTCTGGCTGGCAGTCAGCAGCTCCTCTCTGGAAGCTGCCCGAGTCTCGGAGGTGGGCTGCTGACCGGCCTCTCTGCTGTTTCACGTGTCAGCGGGGCGAGTGTCCCGTTTGCTGCCAGTTGTGTGTGGATGCAGTTCAGAAAGAGGAGGCCCGAGGCCGCTCCGACCGCCGCCGAGGTGCGTGCCTCTGCCGCTCTGCACGGACCGCCAGGCTGGTCCCTGTGCGGCGGTGCCCAGGCGAGGGCCTGCGGGCACGTGGGGGGTGTTCAGGGCCTTTTCTTCCTGTGACATAATGGAGGAAAGCGGTGGTTACAGGACGGAAGGGAGCCGGAGGCCTGGTGTGCTCTGGCCCTGCCTCCTGCTAGTCTCCTGGCCTCAGGCTCTCGCCGGCCCGGGCTGCCTGAAGGGGGGGGGGCGGCCGGGCTCTGGAGCGGACGCGTGGTGTGGGCTGGCACCGGGCGGGCAATACGGCTGCGTCACTGTACGTCATGACTTACCCTCCTCCTCTCTTTCCATCCAAGCTGGACACTGTGCATCTCTTTCCTGGTTCCTACATACTGAGGCATCACATTCTTTATAATTTTTTTTTCTTTATTGAGTTTAGAGAGGAGGGGAGAGGGAGAGAGATGGAAACATCGATGAGAAAGAATATCGACTGGCTGCCTCCTGCATGCCCCCCACTGGGGATTGGGCCCACAGCCTGGGCACGTGCCCTGACCGGGAATTGAACCAGCGACTCTTGGTGCGGGGTCGACGCTCAACCCCTGAGCCACACCAGCCAGGCTCTTTTTTTTTTTTTTTTTAAATCCTCACTGAAGGACAGGTTTCTGTTGATTTTAGAGAGAGAGGAAGAGAGAGAGAGAGAAACATTGATGTGAGAGAGAAACATTGATTGGTTACCTCCCATAATATGTGCCCTGACTGAAAATCGAACTCGATACCTTTTGGTGCACAGGGAGATGCTCCAACCAACTGAGCCACTGGGCCAGGCAAGTCACTGCATTCTTCTTTTTTTATCCTCACCCGAGGACATCCTTCCAGTTTTTGTTCAGGTAGAGTGGGAGGGAGAGAGAGGAACAGAGAGAGAGAGAGAAACATCGATGTGAAGGGACACATCGAGTGGCTGCCACCCGCACAACCGACCAGGGCCGGGGACAAACTGCAACCGAGGTACATGCCCTCAGCGGGAACCGAACCCGGGTCTCTGTGGACCGCAGGCCGACACTCTAACCGCTGAGCCAAACCGGCCAGGGCTGCATTCTTTATATATATATATATATACACACACACACACATATATATACATATATATATGTATATATATTATCCTCACCTGAGGACATTTCTATTTTTTATTCAGACAGAGCGGGAGGGAGAGGAAGAGAGAGAGAGAGAGAGAGAGAGAGAGAGAAACATCGACGTGAAAGGGACACATCGAGTGGTTGCCACCCGCACAACCCAACCAAGGCCGGGGACAAACTGCAACCGAGGTACGTGCCCTTAGCAGGAACCGAACCCGGGTCTCTCTGAACCACAGGCCGATGCTCTAACCACTGAGCCAAACTGGCCAGGACAACTGCATTCTTTTCAATGGCTGCGTAGTGTCCAAGGTAAGACGGTCACATGGCCCCGTCCCCTGGAATCTTGGGGGTCTCGTTTCCCCCTGTCGCAAACACACTGAGCACTCTGTCCTTCCGTGACCACAGTACACGAGGCACCACGCCACAGATGGGATGTGTCAGGGACCAAAACACTGGTGGTTGGACGCGTTTCTCTAGGTAGGTGGATTCCGAGTCACCGGGCATGCTTCCACCCCCCGCCCCTCCTTCCAGAGCTGTTGGGGGTCGGACTGGACACACAGGGCTCCGCGCTAGGCCTGGCGAGCTCAGGGAGGCCTGCAGGCAGCCTAGCACACTCAGACCCAGAGTCACCACACAGGGTGGTCAGGACACAAAAACTCCCATCTCAACTCGAGTCATGGAGGGGGGTCACGTCCTCGGCCGCATCTTCCTCAACGACAGTCAGTCTTTGAGCTGAGCCTGTCTACTGCCTCTGTGCCTACGCTAGCACGGCTTCGAGTGCCAGAGTGCCCTCTGTTTGCAGACCCGCAGGGCCCACTCCCCACAGGGCACAGACCGCAGAGCCCTCGTGTTGCTCACACACCTCTGTGTTGTCACTGGATTGGCTCCGGGGCGCACCGGTGTGAAAGAAGTGTGTGTCTCTCCGTGTCCCCTCTGGTCCAGCCCCAGACACTTCCCTCACCTCGCACTCTCCGGCCCCCTTAGTCTACCGCCCATGGACCTCACGGACCCTCCTTACATCTTCTCCTCCGATTCTAATGTATGAAATGCGGCACAAAACTGCCGTTCTCCGGAGCGCCTGCTCCACGCCTTGAGACAGCTACCCAGCGACGGTCTTCAACTCGGCGCCAGTTCAGTAAAACATTCTCTGCAGGTCTGGACGCTTCTTACAGGACAGGGTGGGCTCCCAGCTGCTGGTCGACAGCTGGGTTTCCATCCCCCAGCCCGGGCAGAGGAGGCACACAGCATGGTGTCCCGGCCTTCCAGGGCCCCACAAAAATATGTTCATTTCTTTTAAAAATAGAAGGAAAGCCCTGGCCGGTTTGGCTCAGCGGTTAGAGCGTCAGTCCGTGGACGGGAGAGACTTGGGTTCGATTCCCACTAAGGGCACGTACCTTGGTTGCAGTTTGTCCCCGGCCCGGGTTGGGGTCGTGTGGGTGGCAGCCAGTCCATGTGTCTCTCACATCAATGTTTCTCTCCTCTCTCTCTTCCTCCCTCTCTCCCTCTGCTCTATCTGAAGATAAATGCAAAAAATATCCTCTGGTGAGGATTAAAAAAAAAAAAATATATATATATATAGAAGGAAAACCCCAAACTTTTAGGTTGAAAAATGTTTTAAAACTTAATCCTTACACCACCTTCCTCTCTCTCTCTAAAAAAATCAGTAAAAATATTTAAAAACAGATACTGTTACTGGAGGAAGGGGCCTGGAAGTCACTGCGCTGCCCTGCGGCCCCGGGACACCTGGCCTTCCCCTGGCTGAGGGCCCTGTCCTCACCCTGCCCTGCCTCGCCGGCTGCCTACCAGGCCGAGCGCTGTTCGCGGGAGCCGGCCGGGCCTCCCGCGGTGCGTGCGCCCAGGTGTCCAGAAACCCAAGCATTTCCACTCTGGCGCCGGGATGACGCAGCGTCGCCGTGGTGACGTAGGGTTGCGGTGTGACGTGGCTCTGTGATGACGTAAGCCACTCCCTAAAGCAGGAGAGTGCGCCGTGAGTCGTTTGGCGCGGTTGGAAGGGGCACCGAGGTGACGCGCAAGCTTGCGATTTCTCCGAGAGGCGCCCTGATGACGCAAGAGGCCCTCTCATGACGTAAGAGGCTCGGGGGGCGGCTGAAGGACTTGGGGCGGGAAGACTGGCCTTCCGGCTTCCGGTGGGGCCTTGGGCCGTGCGTTTGGGCGCAGGACCTCCCGGGTGCCCCCAATCCACCTTGGTGCTTGGCACGCTCCCCAAACTCCGTGTCTCAAGTTGATGTGGAGACGTTTTTATCCTAAATTTAAATCGGTGCACAGGGTAAAATTTCCCGCTTATTGTCTGCCCTTGTCGATGTGTTAAAATAAAGCACATCACCCCTCTTTTGATAAAAACGGGCCCAGTGAAATCTAAATATGATGGGGAGAGGATATTCCACTTAAAAAGAAATCCGCACACATGCTCTTGTCGTGGGAAATGTGAGCCTTCCCCCGTGAACGTCTATTCCTTCTCCGCCCCAGAATCCCAGCCAAATGTTATATAATTTATGCCTCCAAGTCTTACTCATTTTGCCGGCGTACTTCTCAACACCGTAAACACCTACAGAAGTTGAAATGCACATTTAACATCTTTTTTCTTGTGACCCTATAAAGGTTTTGTCTGGATCGTCATTTAACTGTAGGTGCACAGCTGCTCGGAACAGTATCCGTGCGTGTCACGTTTTGTTCCCCGTCCAACAAAGAAGCAGGACTTCATTGGAATGCACCTTCTTCTTCTTCTTTTTTTTATCCTCACCCGAGGACATCCTTCCATTTTTTGTTCAGATAGAGCAGGAGGGAGGGAGAGGAAGAGAGAGAGAGAGAAACATCGACGTGAAGGGACACATCGAGTGGCTGCCACCCGCACGACCAACCAGGGTCGGGGACAAACTGCAACCGAGGTACCTGCCCTTAGCGGGAACCGAACCCGGGTCTCTCCGGACCGCAGGCCGATGCTCTAACTGCTGAGCCAAACTGGCCAGGGTGCGATGCACCTTCTTACACGTGAGCCGGCACAGGGCGCATCCTTGGCTTAAGTGCCTGCGCGCTTCCCCCGCCCTGAAGCTCCATCCTGGCGCGGAGCATGCTGGGAAAATCCCTCCTCTCTGCGGCCCGGTGCTGGGCTTCTGGGCAATTCCCGGCTCGGCCACTTGGGGGCGAGCCGTGCACGCAGGTTGTCCAGGGCCTGCCATCTGAGGGGCCGCGGGTGACCTCAGCGCATTCCTCGGATTGCGGGTGGGTGTCGCCTGGCTCCAGGAAGTTGTAACCTTCAGAAATTGCGCCTTATGCATGTGTCTGGG